TTGACGGTTCACAGCCTACACCCTGAGCTTGAAGCACGGGTACGTGCAGCTAAACGCTATACCATATGCCCGCAACCCAAGAACCTTCTACCACAGGCCCTAAACCCTGAGCCACCTACACCCTAAACCCTAAACCCTAAACCCTACATTTTAAACCCTATAGCATAAGCCCTAAAACAGGAGTCGGGCAACTTTCCTTTCTTCGCCACCAGCGACACCACCTTGTTCTCTGTTGTCAGTGCCTCCTCAGCCTTCCTTGGCGAGACGGTGGTCACTTAGTGGATCGTAGCAGGGCCCTCAACAATTTAGTTTTTGAGTAGGTAGCCTTTGACTAGGTAACCTTTAACCCTCAAAAACTTAGTAGTAGGGTAGGTAAGCTTTAAGCTGTTTTGGGGGTATGATAACCCCTCCATATCAGCCCACTATCATCCCAAAGGTTAACTTTCAGTTCCCCTTAGGATACTGTGCAAGTACGTTGAACTTTAATCCCACGCCCTCGACCGTAAACCGCCGTACCCGAAAGGCCTTCAGTTCAATTTCGAGGCCTGGTGAACCCGCGCCTGCGAGCCCTTCGCCGGTAGTTTTGCAACCTGCCTCTGACCCCTTTGAACCCCTGAGCTTGTTGAGGCTAAAGCCCTGAACCCTAAACCTGAGCCCCCCAAACCCTAAACCTTGGGGGTAGGCACCCTAAGCTACATGAAAACCAGGAACCAGAACTAAGGGCCCAACACTTTTAAACCTCAGGCCGTGCGCATCAAGCCTTAAACCCCAAACTACAATAAGGTCAGGGTGTAGGGTTTAGGCTTTAGGGTTTAGCGTTTGGGGTTTAGGGTTTCGCCCTAAAGCCTAAACCCTAAACCCGAGTCCTTAAAGCACCACAGGTCTTGGACGTAATCAAGCCAGCCATCGTGGACGGAATCATGGACGTCGCCAAATTGCTCACCAAGTTCCTTCCTACTGGTTACCGACCCAGCTCTGGGTTTAGGGTTTAGGGTTTAGGGCCTAGGGTTTAGGGTTTAGGGGTCAGGAGTCATGAGTCAGGAGTCAGGATCAAAAGTACTAGTCTGTCGGGCGTGCGGATTGACTTGTTGTTTTGAGCTTCGGCTGTGCAGGGTTTCGAGTTGGAGCCGGGATTTCCTCAAAAAATGCCGCAAAGGGCCCTGAAAGCTAGAGACACAGCAGGCGCAGTTTGTGGGGTGGGCTCAGCATGTACCCAAAGGATCCATGTACTTATATAGCAGAACCCCTTTAAGGCCTAAGTATATACTGTATGGGTGCATGGATCCTTCGGGGTATAGGCATCTGCCAATCTTTCTATGGCGATTTGGGGTGTTCAGTGCTTAGCGTCTAAGGCTTTACCGTTTATGGCTCTTGGGATCCCCTTATATTCGCAGGCCCTCATAGGGATTATCATAGGGGGGGTGGTACTATAACCCCTAAACCCTAAATCCAATTCAGGACTGCTAGTCTCAGGGGGAACATCCCAAGCTCCAGAAGGTGTGGCCAAGACGTTGAAGCAAGGCATCTACAACCTCCTGCAGCATGGATGCCAATTGTTTAGGGTTTAGGGTTTAGGGTGGTCAGGGCTCCGCCGCTACACCCTAAGCTTGGGATGTTCCCAGTATACTAGCAGTGCTTAACATGGACTATATTACCTCCTATTAGAATCCCTGTTAAGGACTGTTAGCGTAAGGGGGAACATCCCAACCCTAAACTCTCAAACCCTGAGCCCAAACCTTGAAGCCGTAGATGTTAACGCTATAACCTTGAACCCTAAACCCTAAACCACCGTCAATTCTTTTGTAGTTTCTAGTGTACGGGGCCCCAGCCCACTAAACCCAAGATGCGCGACACGATTCACTCAGTGTTTTCAGGCTTCTGGATTCAGGGTTTAGGGCTTTCCTGAATTGTGATCCTCTTCTGTGTGCCCCAAGCGCGACAAGGAGCTGTGTGAAGGCAGGGACCATGATATCCTAAACCCTGAGCCCTAAACCCTAAACCGTTCTCCACATGGCTGAGAAGGAACCGAAAACAGGGTGCAATAGAAACGAAACCGAGTTGATGATGGTTCAGGGTTTAGGGTTTAGGGTTTAGGGTTTAGGGTTTAGGGTTTAGGGTTTAGGGTTTAGGGTTCAGGGTTCAGGGTTCAGGGTTCAGGGTTCAGGGTTCAGGGTTCAGGGTTCAGGGTTCAGGGTTCAGGGTTCTCTAGTTAGGGTCGAATTTTGAGTCTTATATTTTGTACGGCACCCTGTAGAATGAGGACCCCCTAGACTCCCTCAGCCCTAAACCCCAAAACCCATTTCGAGAACTACCCCTAAGGATCCATGTACCTATATTTATATAGTATATACTTAGGCCTTAAAGGGGTTCCTATATAGTAGCTTTAGGGCTCAGTATATGCTATATAGGTACATGGATCCTTTGAGTACCCAGATCCAGGCACAACCAGCTCAACGTCTGGTTCGCTGCGGCCCCGACTGGTGTGAAGGCTTTCGCCGAGGCATGCCTCCATCCAAAGATCAGAGTTTTGAGGCAAGCCCCGAAAAGGGTTTTAGGGTTTAGGGTTTAGGGTTTAGGGTTTAGGGTTTAGGGTTTAGGGTTTAGGGTTTAGGGTTTAGGGTTTAGGGTTTAGGGCCCTCAACGGGCCTAAACCCTGAACCCTGAACCCTCAACCCCAAGGCCGGAGACGCCCCCCTGAAGCCTCTACCCCGAACCCGAAGCCTGCTTACGGACACCTCCGAGAATATGACCCTGTAGACACAAAGCCCCTAAATAATCCTCTCAGTGTTTAAGCGCATAAAGGCCCTTAGCCTGTAAATATCCCAAACCCCAAACCCCAAACCCTCAAGCATCAACCCTAAACCCTAAGCCCTCAACCCTAACCCTAAACTAAACCCTAAACAGCTGCGTCTTTCTTGTGAAAGTATACACCTGCAGCGCTTCTGGCTTCCAAAAATACCCCCCCCCAAAAAGGGTGCCAGAATTGAGATGTCCATCTAGTTGGGCCTTTCTTCCTTGCTTTAAGACAAATTGCCTTTGCAGATCCCGGCAAACAGCAAAGTCGCTTGGGGTTTAGAGGAAAAAACCCTAAACCCTGAACCCTAACCCCTAACCCTAAGGGAAAAGGTGACTGCGTGGGACCTCGAAGGTCCCTGAAGCCTGAGCCCTCGCCACAAGCCCTAGAAACCCGAAACCCTATACACCCTATAAAACTTTTTTAACCCTATAAACCCTGAACCCTATAATCCCTATAAACCCTGTCAACCCTATAAACCCTATAAACCCTATAAACCCTATAAACCCTATAAACCCTATAAACCCTATCAACCTATAAACCCTATCAACTCTATAAACCCTGCAAACCCTATAAACCCTATAAACCCTACAAACCGTACAAACCCTACAATTAAACCCTATAAACCCTATAAGCCCTGCAAACCCTGAACCCAGGGCCAGAACATTGTAAACGAGCTCAAGCTGCGCGGCACTACTTGGTCGGCCTTTCGGAGCTTCGGGGTTTAGGGCGATAAAACATAAAGGGTTGAAGGTTTAGGGTTGAGGGCCCCAAACCCCTAAACCCTACAACCCTGAAACCCTTAAACGCTTAGCCCTAAACCAGCCCTAAACCATAGGGCTTTGGGTTCGGGCTGATGTGCAGGGGTTTTACTCTCAGGGGATCATGTGGTTTGGATTTGTGGGGGTGCGTGTTTCCCAAACCCTAAGCCTTCCTAGCCTAAACCCGACCCTCAACCCTGAACCCTAAACCCTAAACCCTAAACCCTAAACCCCAAGCCCGAAACTCTAGTCCCTCTTCTGGCCCCGGGACTCATGCCGTTCGGGATCTAGGGCCCTTCTCACCCAAACTCTGAGCCTAATCCAGAGTATTGTATGTATGAACTAATTTATGCATACATAGCTGTATGTGAATCTTGACATATACATATATATATATATATGTACGTATATGAATATATGCGTCAATGTCTATGTCTATGTCTATGTCTATGTCCATGTCTATGTCTATGTCTATGTCTATATATGTACATATGTACATACAAACATACAGGACTAGTCGATGTACGTATTTATACATGTAGATGTATCAGAGAGTTAGAGTTAGAGTTAGATTTAGCGTTAGGGTTAGAGTTAGAGGTAGAGGTAGAGGTTAGAGTTAGAGCTAGACCAAGAGTCAGGGTTAGAGTCAGAGTTAGAGTTCGGGTTTGAGTTCGAGTTTGACTGTGATTTGGGGGCTCGTTGGGCTTTTTGGGGTCAGGGTCTGCATCATGGAACCCTAAATAAACCCTAAGCCCTAAACCCTGAGGTCTTGGGGCTCAATGGGCTTATCAGTGTGCGGACAGTGTTGCAGACCTGCAGCGACATAATGCCAGAAAAACGGAGCCGCTACCAACCCTTGCCCCCAAACTTTTCAAACCCTGACTTTTGGGGTTTAGGGTTTAGGGTGTAGGGTTTAGGCCCCAAACCCTAAGCCGAAGCTCTACCTGTCCGAGCGGCCAGGTACCCTTGGGGTGCTCAGCCTTCAAAAAGACCTGACGCAAACCGGTTTGCTTGAAACCCTAAACCCTTCAACCCTGAACCCTTAACCCTCAACCTCAGACCTGTAAACCCTAAACCCTTACCCTTTAAACCCCAAAACCTCAACCCTAAACCCTAAACCCTAAACCCTAAACCCTGAACCCTGAACCCTGAACCCTGACTCAGGCAGGCCAGGGGCAAGCCTGCCGACCTTACTCCCCAAAGCTTGGCGCAGCAGGGAATCTACGGCCTGGCGGCTCGGCTCAAGCATGCACTTGATTCGGGTTTAGGGTTTAGGGTTTAGGGGTTGGGGGTTGGGGGTTTAGGGGTTAGGGTTTAGGGTTTAGGGTTCAGGGTGTAGGGTTTAGGGTTTAGGGTTTAGGGCCATAATTTAATAATTCCTATCCGAGCCTGAGGTGGATGGTGGGCTGACGGACAACACGGGCATCGGCCATGCGCTCGCGGCCGGGATGAACGAGGCAGGGACGAGTCTGCAGGGCTTGTTAGGGTCGGCCACGGGTTGGAGTTGAGGGTTGAGGGTCTAGGGTTTAGGGTTAGGGTTTAGGGTTTAGGGTTTAGGGTGTGGGGTTTGGGGTTTGGGGTTTGGGGTTTGGGGTTTGGGTTTAGGGTTCAGGGGTTGAAGTGCTGGAGGTTAGGGTTTGGGGGTCTAATGCTGGCAACCACCTAGGAGCTGAGAGACGAAGCTGAGGGTTTAGGGTTTAGGGTCTGGGGTTTAGGGTTTAAGGATTTAGGATTTAGGATCTGGGGCTTAGGGTTTAGGATCTGGGGTTTAGGGTTTAGGGTTTAGGGTTTAGGGTTTAGGGTTTAGGGTTTAGGGTTTAGGGTTTAGGATTCAGGGGCTGCTGATCCTTGAGCTTCGTCGTTGGATTTTGTTTGGGGGGGGGGGGGGGGGGGTTGGGGCCGGGGGAGCTTCAGTTCGAGTTCGTGCGGTCGGGTCTTCAGCCCTCAGCCTCATCGTGCCTGAACCCTGAACCCTGAACCCTCCTAAACCGTAAACCGTAAACCTTAAAACCTAAACCCTAAACCCTAAACCCCAAATTCTCAGAACCGCCCACCCTTGAGGTTCTCGGGTTTAGGGTTTAGGAATGTACCCTCAACCCTGCACCCTAAACCAAGCCCTAAACCCTAAAACCCTAAGGGTTTAGGGTTTAATTAGGGTTTAGGTTTTAGGGTTTAGAGTTTAGGGTTTAGCGCTCAAACCTTCCTGGTTCTTCGCCATGAGTAGCCAGCCGCGTAGCCCCTGGCAGAGACCCTTGGTCCTTAATACCTGCATCTGCTGCAAAGAGCCAGTTTAGGGTTTAGGGTTTAGGGTTTAGGGTTTCGGGGTTAGGTCTTAAAGGATCAGATGATCAGATCAGGATAGGCATCGGGCCTCGGCAGTGTGTTCTCTACCAAACTCCGGGGTCCCTCTGAGATTTCGCGGGTGTTTTTCCCATCCGGTCGACCCCTGAAATCCCCCCAAACATACTGCCATCCTTAGTCCAGTGATGCCCACCCCCCTGAATCCTAAACCCGAACCCTAAACCCTAAGCCCTAAACCCTAAATCGTAAACAGTGGGGCCCCTTCATTTTCGGAGAAGCCCTTGTAGGGCACCACACCAACAGGGATTTTGACTGAGAGCCTAGCACCCTAAAGCACTAACACCCTGAAACCCCCTGAAACCTATTACCCGAAAGCCCCAAACCCCAAACCCCAAACCCCAAACCCCAAGCCCGAAACCCTAAACCCTAAACCCTAAACCCTAAACCCTAAACCCTAAACCCTAAACCCTAAACCCTAAACCCTAAACCCTAAACCCTAAACCCTAAACCCTAAACCCTAAACCCGAACACGCGAGAAGCCCCTAACACCTGTCAGCAGGTCATCTGCATCCAAGATGGCTTGGAGGGCCTGTGGAGCCTGATGAGAGGCTCCCCCAGTTCTCAGAACCTCGTGCCCGTGCCTGACGCTGGGTACGGCCTTGCAGTTTAGGGTTTAGGGTTTAGGGCTTAGGGTTTAGGGTTTAGGGTTTAGGGTTTGGGGTTGTGTTGTTTTTGCTTTCGAATTTAATTTAGTGTTTAGAAAAGGTGAAACTGTTCGGGTTTAGGGTTTCGGGGTTGCGGGCGTAGGTCGCCTCTTGGTATATTTTCTCTCATTCATATGGGGTTGAAGAGGATTCTATTTAGGAATTCTGTTTTGGCGGATTTAACAGCTTTCTGGCCGTTTGTTGTTCGCAGCACTGGGTTTTTAAGCCGATCCCACCTACGAATGTTTTTTTCAGAGGGTTCAAGGGTCCAAGCTAGGACATCATCGACACGTGCCCCTTCTGCTACGCTTTCTTCGACCTCTTTGAGGAAAAGGAATCCGACGCGATGAAGCTTGGCTTTCTTCTGGCTGGCTCTTGGGACTCAAACCTTTTGGGCATTTGTAGAAAATCCTGAACCCTAAACCCTAAAAGTTTAGGGTTTAGGGTTTAGGGTTCAGGGTTTAGGGTTTAGGGGAGGGGTTCAGAAGTCCGCCAAGGAAGCAGTGGCACGCCAACTCCACATCACTTTCGCTTCACGGTGTGCAGAACCTGAACTCCCTGAACGTGGGCACCCTGAAGTTGAAATCTGGGTATCTGAGTGGTACCCTTTTTACCCTTTTTTGGGAGGGTTCCGGGTTTAGGGCTGAGGGTTTAGGGTTCCCTTATCAAAGTACCCAACACCAAAAACAGGGTACCCTTATTATAGAATACGGTTGCTGGGCTACCAAGGACAACACAGGCGAATGAATACTTCGGTGTGAAGGGTGGACGCGAGGTGACGCTCCACATCGTGAATGTCAACTCTTCCATCGGCATCGGGGGCTACAACTACTTCGACTACCCAGTTGCTTACTGTTGGTTAGCAGTGAGTTTTTGGGAAATTAGGGCCCTATATATATATATACACCCTTTAAAAGGGATTCTACAGAGTATCTCATTT